TGGTGGGTGCAGAACTCTGCTACCCAGAGTGTCAGCGACCTGAGACGCGTCTCCTTGTAGTCAGGGCGTGGGCACACTTGCTGGTTTCCATGCTCATTGCTTTGCATCTTATGTCTCTGGCCACATCCCTTGTTTATAGCCTTTACTCAATTAGAGTTGGGGTTCTGGTTTTTCCTTATTGATTTGCAAGAGTGCTTTAGAGATGAAGGGTGTCACTTTACCGCTAGATGTCACAAAGACCTGATCCCAATGTATCGAGTGTCTTTTGGTTGTCTTTATATCTTTTTCTCCCACTTTCTATTATGGAAAATTGCAAATGCACAGAAGTAGAGTGGCTAGTGTAATGCCTCCTCATGTGCCCCTCACCAGCTTCTGCCGTGATGAAGTCAGGGTCTAGAAGAAAAGCCATTGCCTGTCTTTCGTCTGAAACACGCCCTGCATATGTTACTGTAAACGGTGTCACTTTAAAACCCAAACCAAAACACCATAACCACAGCCCGTGATGCCATTTTGGGGGGGATGTACAGAAATGCTTTGTTCTCACAAAGTTGAGCTGCTCTGTCTTTCCTTGGCAGTTTGTCCCACTGCTTTGAGGTTAAGAACAGCCTCCTCCCGCCCAGACACCCCAGGCCCGACACTGACTTCCGAGCAACACTGTGGTCCTGGAGGGGATGGACAGACATGGACTCCGCCCTGTGTGAACTCCCCGGCCCAGGCCTCCTGCTCCAGCCTTGGCTCAGTGCCCATCCTTCTGGGCTGGCCAGAAGCTATCCCTGCAGCTGCGGGCACCATCTGACCACAGTAGGGGTGACAGGGTAAAGATGGGCCCCCATGAGGCCTGGCCAGCAGTGCTGGGAGCAGGTCAGCATGCTGGCAGTGTTGAGGGTGGGGGATGCGATGCCCTCCCAGGCAAAGTGGGCTTTGGAGCCACCAGGCCAGGGTTCTGCTTCTGCTCACACCACTTCCCTATCTAGATGGGGGGCGGGGGCAGAATGAGGTTCGCCCAGTGGCCAGTCCTCTCTTCCCTCTTGGGGGACAGCTGGCAGTGTGCCGACAGATGGCCGGCGAGGAGTCGGGACTGGAGCCCAGGCCTCCTGCCTGCCTCCCCCTGCCGGCCTGACCCTTGGGAAATTCCTCCAATTCCTCAACCCAGATTGGACTCAGGCCCCATAATTTGATTTTCTGGAGCAGGGTTTGGCTGGACTCCTTGTGAGGAAGAATGTCTGGGTCAGCAGGAAGACGTCAAATGTGGGTTTAGGTTTCGGGGGAAGGCTCGGCATCTCCCCCTAGCTCTTCTGGTGGTGGCTTTGCTTTCCTGATGGACCAAGTGTTAGCCACAGTTGTGCCCCAAAGTGCTCAGGGTCCACGCTCCCCCTGCCCAGCAGCATTTCAGAGCCTTGTTCTTATCTACCCGCCCACCCATTCATCCACCCATCTGACTCTCCACCCACCCGCTACCCACCTACTCATTCACCTGCCCATCTGACTCTCCACCCACCCACCACCTTACACCCATTCAGCTGCCCATCTGACTCTCCACCCACCCACCACCTTACACCCATTCAGCTGCATTCACCTGCCCATCTGACTCTCCACCCACCCACCACCTTACACCCATTCAGCTGCCCATCTGACTCTCCACCCACCCACCACCTTACACCCATTCAGCTGCCCATCTGACTCTCCACCCACCCACCACCTTACACCCATTCACCCACTACCCACCTCCTACTCATTCACCTGCCTTTCTCTCTCTCCATCCACCTCTCTGTCCACCACCATCCTCTCGCACAACCACCTACTCACCCTCCTATCCACACGTCCATTAACTCGTTCTTCCATTTCCCTGTCCATCCAGCCTTCTCTCCTTCCATCCCTTCATCCGTTCAGCAGTCTGTCCACCTGGGATCACTCGTGGGATGTCTAGGCAAAGATAGGTTTACCCCAGGTTCACTGCCTTCATTCCTACCTGGGGCCGGTGAGGCTGGCTCTGCATTCCATGTTCGTTCCTGGGCGGTTGGGCATGGTGAGCAGCCTGCACCAGGGACTGCAAAGCCAGCAGCTGGGGTCTGGCTGAGGGTTGTGAGGGCTCTGGCTGATGGGCAGTGTGGGGCCCTTGCCAGGTGAGTGGAAACTGTGATGACACTGGCTAGAAAGGAGAGTAAGGGTCAGCTGAGACCCCTGCAAGCATGGCACTTCCCTGCTGGCCTTGGGCCCTCCCCAGGATAGGGACCCTCCCTGATTCCCCTCTGGGGAGGATGTCTTTACACTCTCATGGTCAATCTTAAAAATTCATGTACAGGGGCACCTGGGTGGCTCAGTCCATTAAGCGTCTGCATTTGGCTCAGGTTGTGATCCCAGAATCCTGGGATCGAGCCCCGTCTCTGTGCGGGGAGCCTGCTTCTCCCTCTCCCTCTGCCCCTCCCCCTGCTCATGCTCTCTCTCTCAAATAAATAAAATTTTTAAAAAATTCATGTACAATTTGCTTTCCATGTCATCACATATTTATTGTTTTAATATAAAAATAGCATTTTGAGTTATCATCAGAAAAGCCGCCCTCTGGAGTGCTGGCCCAGCTCACCTGTACCCACACGTGCTCCTGTGTGCAGGCCGTACACCTCGGACCCAGGAAGGCCACCATGTCAGGGGAATAGGCTTAGGACTTCCCCGCTTCCTAGATGCCCCCAGCCAGCAGCCTGCCTCTTGCATACCCCAGGGCTGCCCTCAAGGCCACCAAGGTGAGGAGGCTGTGGACTACAGGCCCAGCATCCCCACCCACATACAGATAGAGGGGTGCACCATCAGGCTGGGGCAGAGAGCATGGGCCCCAGACCCAGAGTTTCTGCTCTTTGTGGACGGTTACATGGTACTCTTCCTCCAAGCTGGCTGGCATTTGGGGGTGTCTCCTGGCAGGCACACAGTCATTTAGCTCCAGCTGAGAGGGCAATGGGAAGGTCATTGTGGGGTTTGGCTACCTTCTCACTGCCTTAGATTTCTGGGCCCCTGGCTGGCCCCCAGCCAGAGCAAGTGGGCCCCCTCTACGGAGGGGCGGGGTTCCTTGGAGCCCAGAGTTGGAACATGCTGGAGGACCCAGGGCAGGGAAGCTGGAGGCTGGGGCTGTCCCCAGGGTCTGCAGCCCCAGCCTGGTCTGAAGGGGAGCCTGAGGTCAGTCAGGAACCCCGGTCCTGGCACAAGGAAGGAGGAAAGTCACCTCCTAGGTATGAGGCCCACAGATATCCTGCTCACCACCTCCCAGGGCCTTGAGACCCATACTTCGACCAAGGGCTTGAGTGACCTGGCTCCACCCCCTGCCCTCCGGGGAGGAAGACCCCACCATGCCTGCCTGGGGCCACCAGCGTCAGTCCATCCATGCACAAAGCCTACTCTACTGTCTAGGTGGCACCAAGCGTGGGGCTGCGTGCATCTGTGGCCGGTACCCAGGTAGCAGTGGGTGTGCCCTGGAGGCTGTGTGCCCACAGCCGTGGACATGCCATGCTCTTTGTCCCTTACTCCCTGCTGGCCAAAGAACCCAGTCTATACCTCACTTTCTTCCTCCCCCCAAGCTCCTCCCCTCCCCCTATGATGGCCACCGCCTCTCCCAGCCCAACATGCTGATTCCGCTGCCCCTCTGCTGGGTCACACTGCCAGTTTTATTTGCGTGACAGGTGCTGGGAAGATGAAGCTTAGCCTCTCGGACCTATGCTGGCCTCTTGCTTCACTGGGCCTTGGTTTCCCCAGCTTCACAGTGGGCTGGGCTCCATGGTGTCTTCAACTCTGTGTACACGCATGCCCCCCAACCCTGTCCCTGGCTCAGCTGGTACCGGTGGCCAGGCCCAGCACCGACCCCTCCTTTCTAGGGTTCAGTTCTTGCAGCTGGCCCTCCAAGGGTGCTGCCCACTGCTCTGTGTCTCTAAGCTCAAGCCCTGTGCTGTGCAGGGGCCCCAGGGCCAGCAGAGTCTGCCTCAGCCGGCTGGTACGGGCTGCACCAGGAGGAGGCCCTGAGCACATGGCCTGCACCCCGCCTGCTGGCCTGCTGATATGTGCAGGTCTGGGCTCCACATACTTCCCCTGCTTCTTTTTGCTCAGGAAGAACAAATATGCTGGGCAGCCAGGGAGCAAGCAGTGAGAAGAGTGCTGGTTTGTGGTTGCAGCTGCTGAGTCCCTGCCGCCCCTACCCACCACCCTGGGGCCCTCAGGGGCAGCACTGGGCAGGGGCCCAGGCAGGCCTGACCCTCCCCACAGACTGGGCCTCAGGCACCTGGGACCCTGCCCTCCACCTTCCCTCCAGATCTGGCGTGAGGCGCATGGACCACTTCTGAGTGCAGAATCCCAACCAGGCTGTACTCAATTTTTACTCTGTCATGTGGGTAGATAGCACCCTTGTTCCCAGCCAATGTGTCTGTGAGTGGAGGTCTAACTGCTGGTCTGCAGGCCGGTGTCATCCCCTCACCTGCCTAGGTGTCCTGCCCACCTGGCGGCTGTGGAGCGGCTTCTCTCTCCCTGCCCACTGGTGCACCAGCTGTGTGGCTATGGCTGGATGCCCTGCCTCCTCTGGGCCAGAGCACTGCCTCTGAGAGTTGGGCCTGTGCTGGCCCCATGAGGTTGGGATGAGCTGGCATGCGCTGTGGGCAGCAGAGGGCCTGGGAGGCCTGAGAGGTGGTCACGCCGGCTCTTCCTATCCTTCCCTTCCCAGAGGACTCCAGGATGCCCAGTCAGTGGTTCTGCTGGACCTGGCAGGAAGCAGGGGCTCCCAGCTCAGCACCCCCACACTCCACAGGGAGGGAGCCAGCTGCTTCCGGCCAGCCTCGGATTAATGGCTTTTAATTTAGAATTTAATCAATGCGGCTTCTCTCTAGAGAGCTGGATGCTCTGGTCTGGGAGTGAGTCGTATGATCTGTGAGTGGGGTGGGCATGGGGCCTATGATGACCTCTCCAGGCCTCTGTCCTGGCCCCACCCTGACCTTGCTCTGCTTTGCCTGCAGCCTGCTGGCATCCTGGTCATGGAGGACTGCAACGTGCACTCGGCTGCCAGCATCCTGGCCTCAGTGAAAGAGCAGGAGGCCCGCTTTGAGCGACTGACGCGAGCCCTGGAGCAGGAGCGGCGCCATGTTGCCCTGCAGCTGGAGCGTGCCCAGCAGCCTGGCATGGGCAGTGGTGGTGTGGGCAGTGGGCAGCCCCTGCCAATGGCCTGGCAACAGCTGGTCCTGCAGGTAACACCCCAGTGACTCCAGAAGGGTGAAAATGGCCAGGTAGGAAAACAATCAAGGAGGCTTGGTGGACCACAAGCCAGTATTGAATGATTTATTGCAAGATATCTTGAGGCCTCTGAGGAGGGGAGGAGAGTGGGATCCCAAGGGGGCTGGAAGTTTCACTTGGGTGTGCAGGACACCATGTGATGAATGGGCAGGACACAGCCCAACCCTCAGAATGGCACCCTCCACTCAAGTGAGTCCTCAAAGCCCAGGTAGCTGGGCAAGGTCTATTCTGGGCAGCTCTGCAGTCACCCTGGTGACACTGAGGGTTTTGCCAGCCCTGGAGTCTCCTTGCCGTGGTTTCCTCCTTCGTCGAATGCATCAGTGAGTTAGCTCTAGAGGAAGGCTTGAGCAAGGCCTCGGGCTCTGCCTATGTCTCAGAGGGTGACCTGGAGCCTCCATTTCTCCACTAAGCCAATGCCCTTAAACTGGGCTCAGGCCCCTGCTTAGCCCCGAGAGGCATGAAGCCCTGTCTCCTCTGGCCAGGCCCTAAGCACTCTAAAGTCAGGAGTAAATGGCCTGGACCCCTCCCTCCAGCCACTGTACCCCAGTGCCTTACCTATGGATGGGGCACAAGAGCACTTGGCTTATGGGATGGTAGGGGCAGAACAAGAAAACGTGGGAGGCCTGGAGTTTGGTGTGATTTTTCAGATCATAGTACTGACTGAGGCACAAGGCAGGGGATAGGCAGGGCAGAGCTGTCCCAGGAGCCAGGAGGAGGGCCCTGGGTGGGAGTCCACCCTACAGACCTCTCACTGTTGCCCCTCCTTACTACCAGACCCAGAGGCCTAGGGGGCCGCGGCCTACTGAGTCCCCAGGGTTCCTCACAGAGTGACCCTAGAGGGCCCTCCCAGTGGTGTTCTGTTTCTCTGGCTCAGCTCCCTCACCATTGCCCTCCTCAACCTGGCAGCCAGACCTCCTCCCAGTATGTCTCCCAGCACATGCTCTTGTCACTGGGCCCCCACTCCAGGGAACCAGACAGGCTGTCGGCAGCTTGGGGCCGCCTGCACCTGTGTGGCTGGAGAGAGGGGGAGCAGGGTGAGACTGACCCAGCTGGGCTAGCTTTGCCTAGCCAGGGCGTGTGGGGCCCAGAGCAGCAGTCCGTGTCAGGTCGGGGGACTTGGCGAGTGACCTTTACCCCCAGAGCCTTGGTGGTCTCATCTGCCAGTGGGCAATCCACATGCACAACCCAGCATGGTGTATAGTCTTCAGAGGGCCCAGACCCACCAGCAGCCCCCACCATTGGGAAGCTGTCTTTCCAAGCCTTTGGTGCTGAGGTGGGCCAAGGAGCCAGTCCACAGGAGGCCAGGACTGAGGCAGGGTGGGTCTAGGTGCAAGAACCAACCCCACCACCCCTTGGATCTCAGGCACCCCAGAGGGTGAGGCCTGCACCCCCAGATGTGGTGGGGAGTGGAACAGCCCAGCTGGGCCACATGGGGACAGTGGCAGTCAGTGACCTCAAGGCCATCCTTCAGGCACCAGGCCCTCTTTCTAGCCCTCCCAGGCTGGAAAGGGCTTTAGCCTCCAGCCCAGAGGGCACTACTGAGGGTCAATGCCCCCACAGAAAGATGTTCCCATAGCCTGGAGCTGCCCTGGCCTCCTGGGGGCTGTGGACTAAAGACCTCAGGCTATGACCACTCTCCGCCCACTGTCCTCCTGGCCTGCCCTTGATTTTCTGTCTCTTGGGAGGAGATGGTTTTCTCAGGGTGAGATCAGAGAGAGCATGTGTTCTCAGGGCTGTGGCTGGACTGGCAGGGCTAATGGGACATTGAGGGAGGCGGGGCCACATCCGCTGGCCAGGCCTGGCAGCCGTGATGCCAAAACTGCTTCCCAGATTTGTCTCAGCAGGAGATGCCTAGTGACCTACCTGCTGAGCCCCAGGGCTGCCTGGAGCTGGTCCTCAAGGTCAGAGCTGGGGTCTGTGAAGCTCAGGGCCCGTGGCAAGGCAGGTCGCTGGGGCTAAGGAGTTGAGAGCCCAGGGGCTACTGCTGTGCTCCCCAGGCTGCACCACTGTCCTGGCCACCTGCCTTTAATCCTCCAGCAGGAAGAGCTCCCTGCTGGAGACACCTGGCTGGAGCAGGGCCAGCCCTCAAGCAGTGGGTGTGTGTGTGTGCGTGTGGTCGGGGGGCCGCTTTTAGGGACCTGGCCAACCCCGGGTTAGGCCAAGGTGGGTATGTGGCTGGGGTACTAGCAGCTGGTGAAATTTGGGAGAAGGCAGAAGCAGCTGAAATGTAAGTTCCTTCAGGGCAGTGGTCCAGTCCTACTGCTGCTTCTATTCCAGGTGGCTCCCTGTGGGGCTGCCATGGATGGAAGGTACAGGGGGTCAGTGGTCAGGGCAACTCACCCCTGTGCAGGTGGGGAAACAGAGGCTCAGAGGGACATGGAGTGGACACCCAGAGTGCTTGAGCATGCTGGCTGCATGGCCTATGTACATGGCATGTCGAGGAAGAAGGGTAGCCCCTGGGAATGGCTGGATTTCCTGTGTGGGGTCTGGGGCAAAGCAGGAGGGGCGCAGGAAGCCCAGGCCTTGCCCTTCTCTCTTGCCAGACCCCTGGAACCTCCTCGCACCGGCCCTTGCCCTTGTTCATCTCAAAGCCTAGTTTCCTTATTTGGGATACACGAGCCATTGGCTTGCCTTTGTGGGGTATGACCCATGAGGGCCCCAGCCCAGCCCAGCCCTTCTGGGTCTGCATTTCCATCCAGCACAGCCAGACTCTCCAGGGTGTGGCTGTACCTTCATGTCATGCCTGGTTTGGAGAAGTCCTGATTAACCAGGCACTGTGATACCACTCCCCCCACCCCCCAACCACTTCCCAGTGGATCAAAAGCATGGAGGAGAGAGGGTCTGAGGCCCTCTTGACCTCAGGAGCTTTCTTTCTTTCTTTTTTTTTTTAAAGATTTTATTTATTTATTTGAGAGAGAGAATGAGAGACAGAGAGCATGAGAGGGAAGAGGGTCAGAGGGAGAAGCAGACCCCTCGCTAAGCAGGGAGCCCGATGTGGGACTCGATCCCGGGACTCCAGGATCATGACCTGAGCCAAAGGCAGTCGCTTAACCAACTGAGCCACCCAGGCACCCGGCCTCAGGAGCTTTCACCCAGGGTCACCCAACTGCTGAGCACCCCCGCACACACCATTTGATCTGCTCTGACACCCCTAAGAGGGTAGGGGAAACCCTGGGCCTCTGTGTCTTGATGGGGAGAACCCAAGACAAAGTGGATCAGTGCCAGGTCCACTTGGCAGGCCCCGACTGAGCTCTGTGGAGGCACTTGGGGGGCTGTGCTGGGGTTTGGGCAAGGGCCTGGGGCCAGATCAGGGACATCTGAGAGATCTTGTCATACTGACGTCGCTATAACTACCCTCTGACCAGTCCTCATTTTACAGAGGGGGGAAACATCGCGGTCAGGATAGCAGCCGGTGCCAGAGAGGATGGCCGCCCCGGCCCCAGCTCTGCCAGAACTCAGTTTCCCTAACTCCAGGGGGAGGGGCCTGTGAGTGTTTTTACTGGAGGCAGAATGAGGCCCGGGAAGCAGGACTCGGCCAAAGTCACTCGGCGGGAAAATGTCACCCCCGCAGGGGAAGTGGAGGGACGAGGAGGCCAGGCCAGGCCGGCCGCCAGGGAGTTAAGGGGCGACCCCGGCCCCGCCCTGGCAGCGGAGCAGCGTCCCGCGCGGGTGGGGAGGGCGGGACCTCGCCCCGCCCCACCGGCCCCCGCCCCGCCCCGCCTGGGCGCGGCCCCGCTCCATTGGCTGCTCGCGGTGACCGCCGCCAGATCCGCCCCCGCGGGGAGCGAGTCCGCCGAGCCCGAGCCCGAGCGGCCGAGGCGCCGGAGCCGAGCCCGGTTCAGCTGCCGCTGCCGCTGCCGCCGCCACCGCCGCCGCCGCCGCCGTCGTTGTCGTCGTCGTCCTTACCGGCCTGCGCCCCCCCCCCGCCACGAGCCCGGCCCGATGCCGGCCGAACTCAGACAGGTTGGAGGGAACTTGGTCTCATGCGTGGGGGCACCGTCCCGAGGGCCCGGCGGCGGAGGGCGGGGCGCCGGCCTTCCCCGGAGGACCCGCTTTTGTTCCGCGGAGCCGCCGGCCGGAGAAGGCTATTGTCTGCGCTTCGGGCCGGCGGCGTTCGGCCCCGGGGCGGGCGGGGCGGCGGAGTGAGCGCGCCGCCCGGGGGGGTGTGCAAGGCGCGGGGCGGGGCCGCGAGGTTTCTGGGGACCGGGCGCCGGGCCCCGGGCGGTGCGACTCGGCGCCGGGACGCGAGGCCGGGATCGGGGTGGGTGCACCCCAGGGCAGTGCCCAGGACAGGTGCCTGGGGTGGGGGTGCTTGGTGAGGTCCTTCCTGAACAGCCCCTCTGGGCGGGAGGGATGCGGAGTCCGGAGGGGGCAGCCTGGCTAGGCCTCCAGCTCCCTGGGGGGCTCGGTGGGCCTCCCCTCCCCTCCACACTCTTAGCGCGGGCTCCGACTCTAGGGACCTGCGAGGAGCTTCCGGAGCCTTAATGGAAGCCCTGTCTGCAGCGGCAGCGCACGTGAGGGGAGGGGTGGAGGAGGGCCCTGCCCACGTGCGGAGGCAGGAGGGGGGTCTCCGGGGAAAACCCTGGGAGTCAGCCTCCCAGTGGTGGGAGGGAGCGGGAGGAAGCCGTGTGGGCAGCCAGCACCTCCTGCTTACGGGGTTTGGGGTCCAGTAACAGGCAGGGAAACTGAGGCCAACTGGAGGAGCAACTGCCCCAGGCCCCTTGTCATTGGGGGCCGGGTCACACCTGCCTCTCCCTGGCAGCTGGGTTTCTGCCTGCTGTGCGTCTCTGGTATGGCCCCTAGGGTCAGGCCACTGACTGTCCCAGAGATGTAAGGGTCAGCTGGGGGGAGTTGGGGGCCGCTGTGTAGCTGATAAACGCGGGCTGGGCTTGGAGAAACCGGGGTGGGTGACAGCCAGCCCTGCTATCCCCCGAAACCTTGCTTCCCCAGTGGGGAAGCACTGCCCTTTGGTCTCTTGGCCACTCAGTGTGGACTGCAGGCCCTGGCAGGCGGCTTCTGCTCTGGAGGGGTACCCTAACCCCATCTGCCTGGGCTGGGCAGAGGCTCTGGGCATCAAGAGAGGGCATCTGTGGTGGCCAAGGGCTTGCCCTGTGGAGAGAGATGCCAGCCTGGATTGTCTTGGACTCTATCAGGGATGGCTGTGCTGGGGTGGAGGGGTTAGGGGAACACGTTCATTCCTTCACTTCTCCCTCCCTCCCTCCCTCCATTCATTCATTCAGTGCTAGCTGTCTTGTGCCTTCTTCGGGCCAGGACTGGGAATTGTGGGAGCCAGGTGTGGGATCCTTCCTTAACCTATTCCCTGCATGTATGGTGGGACCATGGACAGGGTGGGGCACCTGTCTTGAGCCTTGCTCTTCTTGATACGTACCATGGGTGCTCATCTGCGAAGTGCGGTTGGTGACATAGATCCATGCCTCTGGGACCCCAGTCCAGCCCCCCTCCCCCATTAAGACTTGGCTTGTTTCCCCATCCCCTCTCTCTGCCATTCCCACATGTACCTCAGAGGTGGTTGTGGGCTTTTGCCCAGGTGGCGGCCCCTCTGTGTGTTGGCTCACATCTTGTATTCTACTCCCCATGTCCCTTCGATCTGGCCATGAAGGTGGGACTGGCACTATCCCGCTTGGCCTTTGGCCTTGATATCCTGGGTGCTTTCTGTTTCCATATGAGGAAGCCAAGCCCCGGGTGTGTGACAGGGCCTAGGGGACCCTCTTGAGAGCAGTGGTGGCTGGTTGTGTTTACCTTTCTGAGTACTGGCCACTCTGGCCCCTGGGGCTTGGAGTCTTGGGCCAGGCCCCTTCCACAAGTTCAAGGAAACTCCTGGGAAACCCCGGGTCTGGACAGCAGCCCCACTCTGGGCCAGGCCTGTAGACCATGGACCAGGTGGACCATGGATGGGAGCGCCGGGGGGCAGTTTGGGCCCTGGAGGTAGGCTATGGGAGGCAGGTCAGTGGTCCCAGGAAGAGGGGCAAGAATGAAGCTAGGGCTGGGGATGGGTGACAAGATACAGTTGACAGGATTTGGCAAGATTTGGGATGTGAAGGGCTGGGGGTTGTGTGTCCAGCCCGGTGCTCCTGTCTGGGGTGCCGGGGGGACCTGAGTTGCAGGGCCAGGGGTCTCTGGGGTGTGCCGCCCTGGATAGGTGGACATGCGGCCCTAGAACAGGGTCTCGAGGTCAGATGAGGATGCAGGCACCCCGGTCAGCTGCCTCTGTTGAGTGCCAACTATGTGCTGGTCATCAGGCTTTGGTTCCCTACTCTGCTGCCAGCTCTGAGAGCCCCCAGAGTGGGTGGTTGAGTGGGTGTCCAGGCAGTCTGGACACAGGGGTGGGAGACAGGAGGAGGTGACAGGCATGTGTCAGCATGTGCAAGTCCCTCTGGGGGCAGTGGGCACTGTGTCTGGGGGCTGTTAGGACAACATGCAGATTGACGCGCTTGGGCCTGGGGGCCAGGCTGGGTGCTTACACACACGTACACACACACACGTCTGTGCACATGTGCCTGTTGGAAGCACCAGGTACATGCACACATGTCCCGGTCCTCATCTGCATGTGTGCCCAGACGTGTGTGACGGGGGCCGGGCCTTCCTGTGATCATCGGCTGACTCTCGCTCCCGCCTGCCCGCCAGCCTGGGTGAAGTCATTGCCTGTTTTTAGCTCTCTGAGGTCATTTGCCAGTGGGGGCTCTTGGGGCCTCAGGATCCCACTACTAGGCTGCCTGGGCTGCGCATTAGTGGGCGATGCTGCAGGGTTGCCAGGCCTTGTGGGGTGGGGGGTTCCTGGCTCTTCTGGAGCCCCATCCCTTTGTTCCCTCTACTGCACTGTGTCAGACCCTCATCACAGGCTAGAGTGGAAATAAACTGAGTCAGAGTAGCATTGAGGTCTGAGGTATGCTTACTCCTCCCTCCTCACGAGGGAGTCGGAGGCTCTTCTCTGAGAGTGTTCATGTATGCAGGTCTGCGCAGGGGCCGTGTCCTCCTGGCCAGGCTCTGGTCCCCTCTTGTCGGTCTTACTCCTCGCCCCTCCCCTCCACTTGCAGCCACCAGGGTGTGGCCCTAGGCCCCTCCATGCCTGCCCCCCCAGGGCCCAGCCGAGAGAGCTCAGCGCCTAACACACATTTGCTCCCACTGTTGCCAAATACAGGTGGGGTCGCCAAGGTGCCAACAGTGACAGGCTCTCCCTGAATCTTCTGCTCCAGAACCATCCCAGCTCCCAGCGCCCTCAGAGAAGGGTCCAGGCCGCTGTGCCTGGCAGCCCAGCTGCGTGTCCCCGTTCAGGGTCTCAGTTTACTCCTCTTTCTCAGGGAACATCGTTCTTCCTTCCTGGCCAGGTCCCCACCAGGCATTCCACCTACAACCCCAAACTGAGTGACAGCCAAGGCTGTGGCCCACAAGGGGTGAGGTCTCACTAAAAGGCCTTGCAAAACTGTTTTCCCTGTGGATGCCTGAAATTCCCTGTCAGTGGTTTGTGAAGTCCTGGTTACGCCTCTCCCTTCTGTCAGGCCTCAGTTTCCTTTTTTATAAAATTACGTATTGTTGTCCTCTGCTTCTCGGGGCAGAGGCTGCATTCTGTGACTTCCTTCCTGTGTCACCAGAGCCCAGGGGATACACCTGTCCTAACACGGTGCATGCCTCTCTCTGGACCCCTGAAGAGTTTGCGGGGGCCCAGAATCTCAGCACTCTGTGCAATTGGGGTTTTAAGCCTTTTGTCAGGACAGGACCCCAACCTGAGGAGACTTCACACCCTGAGGACCTCGGGAGGCAGGCCATTGGGCAGCTCTGGGCACCTAGGCTTGCATACCTCCCAGGCCCAGGGCCAGGAGCACAGTAGGACTCTGGGGGCAGGCAGATAGGGGTGTGGCCTTCCTTGGGCCTCAGCTCCATTTCTGTGTAGGGCCTCAGAGGCTTGGGGCCCAAACAGGGGACCCATTCCTCAAGGCACAGCATCTGGGCCACAGAGCAGGGCCTGTCCTCCTGCTGACCTGGCCCCCGCTGCCCAGGAATGTGCTCCTGCTCGCTTGCCCGCTGTGGCTTGGGTTTCAGCCCCTACCCATCCTGCCAGATGCTAATCCTAGGACATTGGTGTGGTGTGGGCAGGGACCCATGTGGTCAGAGGCCCAGGGGTGAATGGACGTTGGCTTTCGGACCCCTTTGCCAGTCAGCACAGTCAGTTCAGCTCTGCTCTGGACTGGCCTGTCCTCTTTGAGCCTCCGTTTCCCCACTGGCAAGTCTGGCCATAGGCTCATGGGCCTTAAAAGGGCCTCTGTCCAGAGCTATCTTGCCTGAATTCCACCATGGTTATCCCCTGCAGGGATGAAGGCAAGGGGAGTTGGGCTCTGATAAAACACCCAGCATCTCACTGGGGAGCACCAAACACTGGCCCAAATGAGGTAGGGCCAGGCTGTGCCCACTCAACATCCTAGGAGTGTCCAGGCCGGAAGGAGCAAGGGTATTTTGGGCATTCTGAGAACTGAGTATTTCTGTCCTGCGAGGGCGTCTAGCTGGCCTTGGGAACAGTGGGGGGCGGGGGGTCCTGGGTATGGCCCTGGGGAGTCTGTGAGCAGTGCTGAAACTGCTCCCCCAAGGCCTCTGCACTCAAGGTTTCTTGGGTGGGGCAGGGAGGAGGCCCAGGACATGGGAGGGCCCAGCCAGGGGTAGTGACCCATGTCAAGAGTTCGACCTGCAGGTCCCACCAATCTCTTGGGCCACCAGGAACCTGTAGCAACCAGGCCTTGCAGCTCAGATGGGGCTGCCCAAGACTGCACCACTGGGGTCAGGGGCTTTATCTGCCAGCTCAGTCCACGGAGGGGCCAGGATTGGGGGAGGTCAACCCCCAGAGGTCCACCCCCAGAGGTCCCCATGGGATAGGGCAACAGGGCCAGTCAGCCCCATGGCGTTCAGAGGCAGGAGCGGGCTGCTGTCTTCACCAGCTGGGGCTTGCAGGCCCTGGGGTCCATGGGCTCCAGGGGTGGGAAGAAGGCCCTCCTGGCCTTGGGGCCAGCACAAGCATCTACACTCCAGGGCCAGGCAAGCGATGGGTCCTCCCACTGACACCCATTCCCCCCCGCTTGCCCAGGAGCAGAGCCCGGGCAGCCAGGCCTCACTGGCCACAATGCCAGAGGCACCCGAGGTGCTGGAGGAGACAGTGACAGTAGAGGAGGACCCTGGCACGCCCACCTCCCACGTGTCCATTGTCACGTCAGAAGACGGCACTACCCGGCGCACTGAGACCAAGGTATGGCCAGGCCCCGGCAGTGGGCAAGCAGGCTGTGTAGCCACGGTTGTTCCATGTACAGAGTGGCCTCCTGAGGGCCACCTGTTGGTCGGGTGGGAGACCGAGGCCACCCTGGCCCTACTGGGCCAGTGTCCGGGCCTCTCAGGCTGCCCAGCCCGCCCAGCGGCCACCCACTTCCCCACCAGGTCACCAAGACGGTCAAGACGGTGACCACGAGGACAGTGCGGCAGGTGCCCGTAGGCCCAGATGGCCTCCCCCTGCTGGACGGCGGCCCTCCACTAGGCCCCTTCACAGACGGCCCTCTGGACCGGCACTTCCTGTTGCGCGGGGGTGGTCCGGCAGCAACACTTTCCCGAGCCTACCTCAGCAGCGGGGGCAGCTTTACCGACGGCCCCGAGCCCCGTGATGTCCCCAGCTACGGCAGTCTCTCCCGTGGGCTGGGTGTGCGGCCCGCACGTGGCCCCCTTGGCCCAGGCCCCGTCGATGGCAGCTTCACACTGCCTGGCCGACGTGAGGCCTTCCCTGCAGGCCCTGAGCCTGTGCCACCAGCTGGTCGCTCCCAGCCCGAGCGCTTCCAGGCAGAGCCATACGGCTTGGAGGATGACACCCGCAGCCTGGCTGCTGATGACGAAGGTGGCCCGGAGCTGGAGCCTGACTATGGCACTGCCACAAGGAGGAGGCCTGAGTGCGGACGTGGCCTTCGTACCAGGTGAGCATCCTGAGCCTGGCCACTGCCTCCAGGAAGTCTGCCTTCCACTCCCCCACAGGAAGTCTAGCTGCTGGGGCTAAGTTAGTTATGCACGTTAGTTTGAATTGGTCTCAATTCAAGGATAGCAACAAGGGAAGCTTCTGGGATGGTGGAAGTCACACTGGGCACCCTCCCTGTGGGTCTGGGGCATTAGGGAAGTTTGTGACAGTGCCCAACACCTGCTACCCCTGCTCCAGCCAGCCAGCCATGAAGGTAGGAGCACAAGAGGCTCAGAGCGTTTCCTCTGAGTTTGAGGCTCCAGCCTTTCCCCAGGCCTCAATTGCCCCTGTGTACAGAAGCAACCAGAAACTAGGCTATGCAGCTCTTCCCAGCATAGACTCTGGTTCTGTCACCTTTGCCCTCAAGTTTTTCTGTCTGTAGAGTGAGAACATGATCCTTGGTATGGATTATGCTATGTGACCGCAGGAAAGACACCTGACCCCTCCTAGCCGCAATCCCTGCCCTAGGAAGTAGGTTTGATGGTGACAACCCACAAGGACATCTTACACTCCGGGGGATCGGTGGCCTGAATGCCCCTCATACGGTCCCACCAGGATGGCTGTGTGCAGGGAGGGTCACCTCCTGCCCCCACATCCTGGCAGATCCCACATTGCCTAGATGAGCCTCATGGGAAAGCAGGACCCCAGTCACAGACAGATGTTTCATAGAAATGCATTTAGCTCAGAATTGGGGAATGCTGCATGGTAATGGGAGTGAGTGAGCTCCCCATCTCAGGGAGACCCAAGCCATGATAACCATTGGCTGGTGTTTGGCCATGTCACTGGCTGTGAGTCAGTTCTTGCTGGCCTGGGGTGTAACTCTCAGCACCCACTCGGTACTTGGGGTCCAGTACCAATGCTGTAGGCCTATCCCCACCCTTCAAGGGTTTGTGGCCCCCTGGAGAAGATAATGGTGGGGTAGCTCCCAAGCAGGCATCTTTGGGCAGTGCCGAGATGTTCCTGCGCCCTGCCTGCCTGCACAGGGCCTACGAGGATGTGGCAGATGATGGTGGTGAGCTGATGGAGGAGCGGCCCCCGTTTCCGGCTGCGACGGCACCCCTGGCCCAGCCAGAACGGGGCAGCCTAGGCAGCCTGGACCGAGTGGTACGGCGATCACCCTCAGTTGACAGCGCCCGTAAGGAGCCGCGTTGGCGGGACCCCGAGCTGCCAGAGGTTCTGGCCATGCTGCGACACCCCGTGGACCCTGTGAAAGCCAATGCAGCCGCCTACCTGCAACACCTGTGCTTTGAGAACGAGGGTGTCAAGCGCCGTGTACGGCAGCTGCGGGGCCTGCCTCTGCTCGTGGCTCTGCTGGACCACCCGAGGGCGGAGGTACGGCGGCGGGCCTGCGGGGCTCTGCGAAACCTCTCCTACGGCCGAGACGCGGACAACAAGGCCGCCATCCGGGACTGTGGCGGTGTGCCTGCCCTGGTGCGCCTGCTGCGGGCTGCCCGGGACAATGAGGTCCGAGAGCTTGTCACAGGTGAGTGACACCTGGCTTCCCCTCGTCCCTCAGGGAGAGGAGAGTGAGGCTTGGCCAGGGAAAGTTCACCACCACCCCCACCCCCGCCACCACCACCCGCCCATTTAGTCCGGAGGTCCAGCTGCTGGGGGTAGGCATTAGCTTAGACTGAGAGCTCCCCAGTCTCTCTACCTCTGGACTTTGCTGCCTCTCAGGCAGGCCCCCTCTCCACCGGCCCCCGTGTCCCCATATTCCTCCAGGTCCAGCCTCCTGGTCCCACCCTCCAGTGGGGCCCAGTGCTGGGGGATTGTGCCTTATGGGCCCCAATTGGCCAGGTAGGGTCGTGTGACCACCTTTAGGTGGTGCCAGTGAGGCAGTAGTGCCGCTGCCCCCACCCCCCCCTTGGCTAAGAAGGGATGGGGAAGAGAAGGCACCTGCTTGTCCAGCCACAGGCCCCCGGCCAGCCCTTTCCTGTGTCCCAGCCTCTCCCAGCTGGTAGCTACTGTGGGGTGCCTGTGCACATCTTGCCTGGGCCAAGGTGGGCACCCAGGGCCTCTCACGGCTTTTTGTTTGTTTGTTTGTTTCTCTCACGGCTTTTGTCACTTCCTGCCTTCGGGTCTGATTGGGGTATGTCCTGAGCGAGGTCACATGGGGAGGTCGGAAGGTCGCTGCCTGTGTGGTGAGCACTGGCTGGTTGATGGCGCCCTGCAGGCACACTCTGGAACCTGTCATCCTACGAGCCCCTGAAGATGGTCATCATTGACCACGGCCTGCAGACGCTGACCCACGAAGTCATTGTGCCCCACTCGGGCTGGGAGCGCGAGCCCAACGAGGATTCCAAGCCAAGGGATGCTGAGTGGACAACAGTCTTCAAGAACACATCGGGCTGCTTGAGGTGTGGGTGGGGGCTGGGCTCGGGCACTCTCTGTGCAGCCACTCAGGACTGTTCCTGGCCAGGGAGGCAGGAGCCAGGCACCAGAGCCTGTATGCACACCTGGGAATGTCCTCATGTCTGGTATAACGTGAAAGACCATTAGCCACCCAAGTCTTAGGAGCTTGGGACACAGCCATGTCACAGTTCCTGCCCGAGTCCTGAGAATGGGGCCTGATGGGGCTGTACTCGGCCCCAAGGGCAGCCTCTGGACAAGGTCTGCCACGCTCTCACGTAGGACCCCATGTCTCCAGCCCTGCTCAGCTTCAGCCCACTCTTCCATCACCGTGACAGCCAGGGTAGGGGGAGCTGGGACCCTCATCTTCTGTCTGCCTCAGAGGCCTCATTCCATGTCCTTGTGACCTCGGCCCTAACCCTCCCACCCTGGGAATCACTAGAGTCCCCACAGGTGGTCCAGGGTCCTCATGGTCCTGTCTGTCCATCAGGACGTAGCCCCGTGGCCCTGTGGGGTCCTCACCTCAGGGTAAGGTGGAACCCAGAACTGTCACTGTGCATGGATTCAGGACTCTGGACCCACTTCTGTCCCCTTCCAATTCTGCTGGGCATCAGAGAAGGCCCCCTGCCACACCCAGATGCCAGGCCAGGGCTCCCTCCTAGGGTCTCAGGGGTCGGGACACTGTCAGTAGCCCTAACAGGGTGGTGTCAGAGCCGGTTTTACAGATGAAGACAACACCCCAAGGCCGGGGGGCGGGGGTGGGCTGGGAAGTTCCCGTGGGAGCCAGGGTTCACAGGGCTCGCTCTTGGCCCCCCAGGAACGTGAGTTCGGATGGTGCAGAGGCCCGGCGGCGGCTCCGGGAATGTGAAGGGCTGGTAGACGCCCTGCTGCACGCTCTGCAGTCAGCTGTGGGCAGGAAGGACACGGACAACAAGGTTGGGGGGAGCCCCAGCAGGTCCCAGCGGGGTGCATCTCACAACCTCCTGCAAAGGGTCGGGGACACGGAGCAGGACCTGGGCCCAGAGGGCCCTGAACCATTTGGGCAGCACAGGAGAAGTAGGCATATGCATTCTAGGGCAGTGCCCTGGCAACGGGCCGCCCTGTAGTGGACATAGTGAAGTCCCAGACAAGGTCCTACACGCCGTGTGTTCTCCACCTTTTTCCTTCCTCGGCCCCTCCCTGGGAGTTCTCACCCCCGTGGGCTCCCTAGCTTAGGCCTCCTCATCTTTGCACCCCCAGTTCCTTCTGTGCACCCTGGCTGCGGACAGGCGTCCCCGGGAGGGGTGGCAGTCTCTGTGCCCACCGGGCCCTGCTCCACCATCTCTCCTCTCCCCACAGTCGGTGGAGAACTGTGTGTGTATCATGCGGAACCTGTCCTACCACGTGCACAAGGAGGTGCCTGGGGCCGACAGGTACCAGGAGGCTGAGCCGGGGCCCCCGGGCGCTGCTGCGGGCTCCCAGCGCCGGAGGAGGGATGACGCTGGCTGCTTTGGTGGCAAGAAGGCCAAAGGTGTGTGGGAGGGACTGGGGTACTACGCTCTAGGACTCCCCCTGCCACCCCAGGCTGAAGGGTCTCCATACCCACGGCCGTCACGGAAGCCAGAGAGACCACCTGGTCAGCTCCTGATGGGCAGGTGGCGAAGCAGGGAGCCAAGGAGGGTGTACCCAGCCTGCTGGGTCGTCCCGCTGACGGGGCAGCCTTCCCTCATCTGCACTCTGGGGCCCCCGGGGGAGGGCAGGAGTGAACCTACATGGTGTCCCTGCTGCTGCCTGGACTGTCCCTCACCTCCGGGAAGGGTTCTTTGGGCCCGTGTTTGGAAAGTGCTGAAGACGATGCTGCCTCCTGGCGTTCACAGAGCACCTGGAGACTTTGAGATGCCCCGGAGGCAGCACCCCACCCTGCCTTCACGCCATCCCGCCCGGCATTTGCTGGGTGCAGGTTCCGGGATCTACATTCTCTGGCACCTGCTGGGTGACGTCTGTGCACTGCCTTCATCTGCCCCCCCCCAACTCCCCATGTGCACCTGTTCTGACCCTAGGCCTCCCCTCTCTTGTTCCACTTCTGGGCACTCAGCCCTCCACAGTGATCGGGGCGGGGGCGGGGGGGTTCCACGACCCATCTATTCAACCCAGGGTTTGCAGTGGGTAGTCGAGGCCTCCCGGGAGGGCGTGGGGGGGTGCTGCCCGCTCAGGCTCATCTCCTCTCTCCTGTGCTTCCTCCGGCCGCCCAGAGGAGTGGTTCCATCAAGGTGAGTCCCTATTTGTCCTGCTGTCCAGGCCCGGTGGGGGCAGTGGGCACCGGGGAGGTGCCGCCCACCCTTATTGTCCAGGCAGTCCTCTCCATGACAACCACAGGGTGATCCAGCCTCAGGGCCCTGCCCCATCCCCATTCCCTTTCCCGGGCAGCCATCTCCATGACAACTGTGTGGACATGACAATGGCAGGAATGTCAGCCCTGGACTCATTGGGAGGCCAACGGGCTGTTCCTCTGTAACCTCAGACTCTGCTACCCAGGCAGGGCCGGGCCTGGAGCTGGAGCAGGGAGAGTCAAGGGCGGGGGGGCAGGGTCTGGGTGTATTTGTCCCCACAGTCACCAGGGAGCAAAGTCTGCCCCTGGGAATGAGGCGATGTGTGGCTTAAAGGGACCACACAAAGGCCCCGTGAGGCTGGGCCGAACAGGGAGCCCAGATCATCAGAACTCTGCTGCCTTTCAGAGAAGAAGCTCCCTCGTCTGAGTTGAGGGTGACTGGCAGCTAGTGAGCTCATTCACAGAGCGGTGCGGGCCGAGGCTGTCAAGTGCTAGGTGGGGTTGCTCTAGGGGCTCAGCCTGTGGGTGGAGGTCTCTCCTAGCCAGCAGAGCCTGGGACCAGGTCCTGACCCCAGACGGGCATTTCCCCGTGGCTGGGACTCTTGGCCCCAGCCCTGCTTTACTGTGCAACTGGGCAGGTCTCGTCCTTGGCAGCCCCCAGCTTCCCTGTACCTCCCTGTCATCATGCAGCCTGGGCTCCTGGCTCCCAGTAGCTGCAGGGAGGCCGTTGGGTGGTCAGCAGTGCTGCTCCCCAGCACCTGACAGATCAGTCCTGGCTGCTGGGGGCAAGGCTGGGACATCCCCAGTCCTGGACTTGGGGGTGTTCTTGGGCCTTGGGCAGGGAAGTGCTGTGTCCACCCTCCTGGCACATACCTGCCCCGTGCAGGGCCGGCTTCACCTCCCGTCTGTTCTCTGTTCCAGGGAAGAAGGATGGCGAGATGGACCGGAACTTTGACACACTGGACCTGCCCAAGCGAACTGAGGCTGCCAAAGGTGAGTGGGCGGAGGCAGAGTTCAGCCCAGGCCCACGCAGGTGGCCAAGCTTTGTGCTACCAAGAAGGTGTGGAGGGCCTTGGGGAGCCAATGGAGAAACAGCCCACAGGTGTGGGGCTTCCCAGAAGGCTGTCCAGTCCCTGGGTACCTGCTGTGGGTTCAGAATCAGGGCCAGTTGCGTGGGTCACTCTAGGCAGGGCAGGAGACAGAGACACAGAGAGGCCAGGCATTTGCAAGGTCATGCAGCATGCGGAAGACTAGAGGGGATAGAGTGAGGCCTTCAGTGAAGGGCAGAGACCAGCTAGGCAGGACCTCCAATGTCCTCTGAGGAGCTCACATTCACTCCCAGGGGTCTGGGAGCTGAGGTGTCCAGTCAGGTCTAGTCTGGAGGCTGATAGTGCAGGGGGCAGAGTGGTTTGTCTTTCTTGTCCCCTGTGTCTGTTGGAATCTTACTGTGTGCTGGCGCTGTTCTGTATAGGGAATCGACCCTGAGTAAGGGAGCTCTGCCCTGGTGAGCCCCAGGCCACGGGCCACCCTGCAAGCCCAGACACCTCCAAGCAGGGTGGAAGACCCCAGCCATGGGAGGCCTAGGGGAAAACATCACACACAGAGAGACCAGTGTCTGCGGACGCCTTCAGGGGGAATACCCTGAGTAGGGGACATGCTTGGAGCATCTGGGGAACAGGAAGCCCAGCAGAGCTGGAGTGAAGGGACCATGAGGCATGAGGAATGGGGAGGGGGTGATAAAACGTGGGGTGGGAGGACAGGGGAGAGGGAGTAATGTCTGGGTACAGGCCAACTGAAAGGCTGCTCAGCCCCTCCTCTCTGGAGTACCTTGGGGCAACTCTGCTGCACTGTGGGGCCAGGGCCTCAATTGATGGGGGACCAGGAATGGTTGAGCAGGGTGCAGACTGAGAAGGCAGGCCCTGTTGCTAGGGGCATGCACTGGTAACAGCCTAAGTTACACAGGAGAGAACAGGGCCCTGTTCTGGCTAGGGCTCCTCCCCCTAGTTGCACAGCCTGTCTGCTGGCCTTGTCGTTAGGGAGGTTGAGTCCTGTTGCTAGGCAAGCAGCCCTGGTTGCCACCTCCTTCCCTACTCCAGGCCTTCTGGATGCTGTGGCTGCCAGGCAGGTCCAATACCATTTCTTTGGAAGCAGGGTCAAGGGAACAACGACCTCACTTAGACCCACTGCCTCCTCACTGAGCCTCTGTTCTGCCATGAAAGGGGAATGCTTTCTCCCTTGGGTGGCTCATAATGGGTGAATGTGTTGATGTTAAATTTTCCCTGACTGCACCATGCCCATCCCTGGCCCCAGCTGACTCTTGCCCTGGGGGCATTGATGGGAGGAGCGGGGAGAGGGGGTAATGGGGGGGGCCTGGGTGACTGTGGGCTGTGGGTGCTCTGTGCCCAGGCTTTGAGCTGCTGTATCAGCCCGAGGTGGTACGTCTCTACCTCTCCCTCCTCACCGAGAGCCGGAACTTTAACACCCTGGAGGCTGCTGCTGGTGCCCTACAGAACCTCAGCGCCGGCAACTGGATGGTGAGAGGCCGAATTTGGCAGGGAGGGGACAGACAGAATCCTGGGTACCCTGTTGGTGCTGGCCTCTGCCTTTGCCCAGGCTGTGGGGGTGGGGACCACACGGGACACAGTGCCTCCCCAGGGTCCGGGAGGTTTGCGGCACAAAGGATGCCAGCTGGAGGTGGCATTGAGTTGCTTGGGTAGGGCTTTGGCTTGCCAGGGAGGAGGGTCCAGCCAGAGGGAACAGTCGGCTCAGGTAGCAGAGTGTTGAGGCGTGTGGGCGGGACCCAGTGTGCTGAGCACACTCCCCGCTCCACTGCCACAGTGGGCCACCTACATCCGTGCCACGGTGCGCAAGGAGCGTGGCCTTCCGGTGCTCGTGGAGCTGCTGCAGTCCGAGACTGACAAGGTGGTGCGTGCTGTCGCCATCGCCCTGCGCAACCTCTCCCTGGACCGGCGCAACAAGGACCTCATTGGTAAGGACGCGGGTGGGGCAGAGCCGGGATGTAGAACCCTGTGGGCTGCTCTGGGGTCCCACCGGCAGAGGCTGGGGGCCGGCAGGGTGGGGAGGAGTTCAGGGGCCCAGCCCTGCGCCTGTCATTCCGTCCCAGCCGCTGGAGCTGGTATCTTCCTGAGCAGTCTCAAGGCCTAGCCCCTGGACACGGTGGGTGACTTCGCAGCTTCCCGGGGCTCTCCTGATGGATCCCGCTCCCCGCCGCTGGGCTGGGCAGAGGCGTGTCCTGACAACTGCCCCTGCCCTTCAGGGAGCTATGCCATGGCCGAGCTGGTGCGGAACGTGCGCAATGCGCAGGCTCCGGCGCGACCGGGTGCCCGCCTGGAGGAGGACACCGTGGTGGCCGTGCTCAACACCATCCACGAGATCGTGTCCAACAGCCTGGACAATGCGCGCTCACTACTCCAGGCCCGAGGCGTTCCAGCGCTGGTGGCCCTTGGCGCTGCCAGGTGGGTGAGGGTGCAGCCCGGGGAGGGCGGGGCCCAGGGGGAGGGTGGGGCGGGGCCGATTGCTGACCCCGCCCTGCGCCTGGCCGCAGCCAATCGGTACGTGAAGCGAAGGCCGCCTCCCACGTGCTGCAGACTGTGTGGAGCTACAAGGAGCTGCGTGGCGCCCTACAGAAGGACGGCTGGACCAAGGCACGCTTCCAGGTGCGGCCTGCCTGGCCTTTCTTTTCCTCTTTAACTTCTCCAGGCTAGGTCCCCTGCAGGAGTGCCCCTGACTCCACACCCTGTCTGTTTTGTGCCCCCCACCTCCCCCCCCAGTCAGCCGCTGCTACCGCTAAGGGACCCAAAGGAGCACCGAGTCCCGGAGGCTTTGACGACAGCACGCTGCCACTGGTGGACAAAAGCCTTGGTGAATACGGGGTCAGGGCACGGAAACCTATCTCTGAGGTATAAGAGATGCTCCTCCACCTAGGTGCATTGATGGTGACAAGGCAGGTGAGGAGTAGGGGGGCCCCTTTCCTGGCTTGCAGCCTCCTACAACCTCTACATCCATGGTGTCCACATTGATGTTAAGTGAGGGTGGGGGGGTGTCAATGGCAGAGGCCCAGCAGAATGGTGCAAAGATGTTAGCGACAAAGGGTACCCAGTGTTAACAGAGGCCAGCCCTGCTGTGGGTTTGTCTGTCCTGGTATCCCCACTGGTTCTTGCAGCCAGCCAGCCACCTGGCTTGTACCTTGCAGATGGTGAGAAACCAGGCAGCCGGGACGTGATCCCCATGGAGGCACTTGGCCCAGGTGAGTGCAGATACAGGGCTGCTTGTTTCCTGTGGGGGGGCCGGGGCGGGGATGGCACTGAAATGGACCAGGTGGTTTTGCCTTGTGTGTTTGGTGCTGGGAAAGCCTTCCAAGGAGGTGCTGGTTGGAAAAGAGAATTTGGTTTAGCGGTGCTGCTGAGGGGGGTGGGCAGCCAGGGAGGGGTCAGTGCCCAGCCAAGGTCTCTGGTCTGCCAGCTTAAGAGGGCTGGAGGGTTCTGAGCGACCATGGTGGGAGGGGCCACGAGAAGACCTGGCCTAGGCCTCCAGCACAGTGCTGGGGCAGGGCAGGTGGGGGTATCTCCCAATGCACCCTGTCCCAGGGGCCCCCTGTGTCTGGGCTGAGAGGGAGATCTGCTCCTGCGATGCCTGCCCCTCAGAGTTCCCCTCATGTCCCCACCCTAAGACGGATACTCCACTGTGGACCGGAGGGAGAGGAGGGCTCGAGGTAGTGACCCTGCAGGGGAGGCCTCTGAGAAGGAACCGTTGAAAGTAAGTGGCTGTGGGCAGGTGCCTAGGGAGGTGCCTAGGGCATGCCTGAGAGGGGCCCTGGCAAGGTGCTGAGTTTAGGCTGCCTAGTCCACCTGGGGTGGGGCTCACCTCCAGGGCAGCTGGGCTGGGAGATGGAGCCTGGGGCCTGGCCCCCCTGCCTCGGGAAGTTTATCGTCAGAGTCAGTCTGTGGGTGCAGGTGGTTTGAAGCTCACACCCACTGGGAGGGACGGGGCATGGGACAGAGGGCATTGCCCAGAACAATGCACAAGGGCCAGGGGAGTCTGAGCACGAGTGTCTTCACCCTTCTCTGCCAGCGTGTGTGTGTGTGTGTGTGTTTGGGGGGGTGGGGGATGGGACCACCATTGTCCTGCCTCCGGGGTGGCACCTGCCAACCTGCTCTGTGACCGTCCTGTGGCTTTCGGCACAGGCCTGTGTGTGTCCACGCATCCGTGTGCATCTTTGTGAGCCACACTAGCTCAGCTCCCCCATCGTGTGCACCTGGGCTCTGGCCTCACCCACTGAGCAGCCCAGCCCCCACCCACCAGCACTGACTAACTTGCTCTGTTCTGCCTCTGATGCCCTCCTGCCCACTGCCCGTCCGCTGCAGCCCGACCCCGGCAGGAAGGTTCCTCCTGGGCCCAGCAGGCCTGCAGTCAGGCTGGTGGACGCCGTGGGGGACGCTAAGCCTCAGCCTGTTGACTCCTGGGTCTAGCTTGCATGCCTGGTACGTTCTCTCGTCTGGTTTTTCATTCAGCTGTTTCCTGTCCTCTGGGAAGGGGCTTCTCGTTAATCTCTGCTGGCTGCATGTTCTGTCCCTTGGTGCTCCCTGGTGGGACTCCGGCTTCTAGCTCAGCAGGCTTAAATGCCCATCCTAGGGATAGGCTGGGGTCTGAGATGGACATGTCCCTCTGGGCCTGCAGTCCCGGCTCAGGCACTGTGTCATCGGGGCCCAGAGCAAATGGGGCTAGAGCAGAGACATTTAAATGCCCCAAGCACAGTGCCCCCCCAACGACCAGCAAGTCGGACTGGCCCTGATGCTGAGATTCTCGGGGTCAGCCACTGCCACCTCCAGCAGCTGCCTTGGTCCACACTTTTGTTGGCCTAGTCTGTGAAGGGGTCCGCCAGCCCCCGGGCCGTCCTGCTTAACCTTCCCCTCTCTCTCCGTAGGTCTCGGGCCCAGCCATTTGTTCTTAGGGACCTGAACATGGGAAGAAGGGAACTCCAGGGCCGGCCCTCCCAGACTGTGCTGTGGAGCTTGGAGCCCCCTGGCGGCCGGGGTTGGCAGCACTTCTCGCCAGGGAGCCAGGGCTGGACATTCTGAACACACCTCCCTTCCCACCCCTCGCTCCCTCCCTCCTAACTCCCTAGGCTGAGTTAGCTGTTTACTGACATGGTGCTGTGTGCGAGTGAGAGAGAGAGAGAGAGAGAGAGAGAAAGCCAGTGGAGCTGCCAGAGTGGGGCCCAGGGAAGCGGCAGGAAGGGCACCTGGTTTTGCTTTGGGGCTGGTGGTATAGAAGAGTGTGCTCTTGTGTGTGCGGGGCCCCAGAGGAGCCTGCAGCAGGGAAGGGAGGAGAGGAGCTCAGAGAAGGAGTTTGACTCTGGAAGGTAGAGGGGATCCGCTGGACGCTGGGTCCCACCCTGCATGGCCCATGGCGGGGGGCGGACTGGCCCATGCGTGCAGAGAGGCTTTGGAGGCAGCAAGATGGGGGTCAGGCTGTGCTTGCCCCCACCCTGCCCTTGGCTACGTGGAACCCCAGTGCAGCAGGAGCCTTCCCTGAGCGACTCTGGCCTGGCCGTGGCTACCAGACCCTGTCTGCCGGAGCCCGGAGTCACACCTCTGGGACTGACCTTCGGCAGCAGTGGGGGACGCTGCCTAGTGCCTGCTGTTTGTGACTTAAAAACTGAAGAAAAACACTGACAAAAAGCATTAAAAACAAAACCAAAATAAGACTGTATTGGTAAACACCTAAATTTTTGTAAGAAAACTTAAAAATTAAAAAAAGCAACGAAACTTCCTATCTTCTGCGGCTCAGATCCTTTGCCACCAGCTGCTTGCTCTTCCCTGCTTGCCAGGGTGGGCATGGGTGGAGGTGGCCCCTGGGTATCCATGTGCTCTGTCCAGAGGGGGCTCAGCTCCCAGGCCACATGGGTGTTTCTGCACATGTCCTCCCAGGCTCACTGCGATCCCTTTTCTGCACACACACACACACACACACACACACAGGAGAGGGCTTGTTTTGGGGTGGTTAGCTGGGCCCCGAGTCCCACGGTGGTGTCCTGGCCAGAGGTCAGTCTGCACACAGGTGGGCTCAGCCAGGATGGGGGGGGGCAGGGGCGGGACCCCTGGTGAGCCTCTGAGGTAGCTAGGGGGCCTTGGGGCCAGGAGCCAGGGTTGGGACTGGGGATTTGGGCAGCTGTGGATTTAGGTAGATGCAAAGCAATTCTACTTCCCTTGCTAGCTGGGCAGCTGTAGAAGCACCAGAGCTGACCTGAGCCCAGTCTTCCGTAAACAAGGCCAAGGAGGACTGGGGAAGTTGGCTTCTACTCAGTGCCACACAGAGACCCCAAGGGGCAAGGTGCCAGAGAGCTCACACCCTGCACTGTGGTAGGGGCCCCATGTCCACCGTTCCCTAGTGCCTGCTTGGTCAGAGATGGACAGGAAGGCTGACCAGCTGCCCTGTTCCAGTTTCCCAGGACAGCCTCCAGATGGGGGCTCACCTCAGCCTGCCCACATCCCCATGGGGATGCAACAGGTAACCTCAGCCTGGCCACATAAGCCCCCTGGGCCAGCATTAGCATCCAGGGAAGAGGAGCACTAGCTGACGGCATCACAGGAAAGAAGGAGCAGGGGAGCAGTTAAAAAGCACTAAGTTGATCTATTTAAATATTTAAAATTTTAATTTCTCTTTTAGCATCTTTTAAACATGATACTGGTATACAGGATTATTAGTAGTGAGCTGATTTTAGTAAGGAAGGTACATTTCATTCTTAAAAAGGTGAAAGAACTCAGGAGTCACAAGTGGGTGTGAGTTGGGCACGGTGCCATCACTGAGGCATTGCTGCCACCTGGTGACAGCAAACGTCGAGGACAGACTGCGAGTGCCCAGCTCAACAGCTTCCACGGGTTCCCACTTCCAGTGTCTACTGCATATATGTCTATGCCTGAAGACCCATCCGTGTAAGAAACTCTATTGATTGAAATGCTGGTAGGAGCAAGAGACACTGTCACGGGCACCACCCGTCCTGAGTTGGTATTTACAAACATACTTTACAGATTTATTGCAATGATTTTGTATGGTGAGCTGACCGCACTTGGGGTAGACCAGAGATAACAGCCAAGAGTCACCGTGTAGAGGGGCCAGGGCCGGCAGGCTTTGGACTCATATGCCTGAAGTGTGCTACACTGGACCCCAGAACTGCAAAAGCGGGTTGGCAGGGGCGCATCCCTTGTGCCCTCAGGCTTGGCAAGGGATCCGGGAGCAGGGTGGGTGGTCAAGGCTGTGTTGGGCTGCCCGGGCCCATGTAGACAGCCTTCTCCAGGCCATCCACTGCCTTTGAGTATTCCAGGTACGAGGGGAAGTGTGTGCATTCAAAGCGGCTGTTCCCGCGCACGTATGCCAGGAAATCTGGTGTTCCCGGGAAGATGACGTTGTCGGCCAGCAACACTGTCCCCTTCCGTAGCAGGCCACACTCCTGCGGGGGACAGATGGTGGGAAAGGGTGAGGGTGACAGGTGTCCGGCAAGCCCATCCCAAACTGGGAGGATAAATGTTCTTGGAGATGGTGGCTCCATACACTGGCCTCTGCCTGGCCATGAGTCAGCCCTGTTCCAGCTCCTGGGGTCACAAGGGTCTCCCCACTGCCTTCCATCTCCTCCCTGGCAGCTGAGCACATGTCCTGCCTTGAGAATGTGGTTCTGTGACGGAAACTCTTTTGCTCCCCATTAGGTCCTGCGTCCCCAACCCCTAGGAGAGGTGTGTGGCAGGCACACAGGAGTTGTTCAGTGATGCTAGCTGGATGAGGAAGTGGAAGAGACAACGGAGCCAGGATTCTGGCCATAGGGCCAACTCAAGGCCAGTGGGTCCTTTGGTCACCCGGTGCCAGGCTCTTGCAGGTGAGATGCCTGGTGCCCAGTGCACAGGCTGCTGTGCGCTGTCACTGGAGGTCCTCACCGGCCTGACCAGGGTGACCCTGCAGGGATGGGGGCCCCTCGGGGCTTTGCTCTGGACATCCCCAAAATCTGGCATGTGAGATGCCCCTTCTCTGCCAGCGCCTGGGCCTGGGCTCTGCAGAAGGAAGGAGCAGATAGACATGGCCAGGGTGGTGTGCTGGGGGCAAGGCTGCCTAGATTATAGGAAGCAATGGAAAGAGAGCTGGAGAGGAATTGCTTGCCTGTGCGGGAGGGGCAGACCAGGGCAACTGGTCACCCCAGTTGCCTTGTCCTAGATTTAACTTTGGAAGCATAGAGCTGCTTTTTCACATGATCATAAAAGTTAAAAAAAATAAGCAATCTGAAACCTCAAAAGCAAAATCAAAGTGACCCCAAGCAGGTCTCAAATTGCCAACAGGACCACAAACAATGGAGCATCTCTAAGTGACTTAAAAACATGGGCTTTAACTCTGCATCCCCCCACCGCCCCGCCCCAGGGATGTGCCCTAGCACAGAGTCTTACAAGTGTCTCACTTCTCTTGGTGGCCATGGTTCCTTCCAGCCTGTGGACTTGGGGAAGCCAAGGGTCCTCCGTAGCCAGAGTGGAAAACTCAGCTGTGAGGTCAGTGAGGCGAGAGACAACCCACAAGCCAGAATTTGAACAGTTAAGTACCACCGTGAATCATGGTGCATTTCCTCATATAAAAAGAAAGTTCCCTAGCAGTCTTGGCTAGAAAGCCCTAGAATGGAGAGCTGTCCCGGAGGAGGCGCCCCGGGCCCAAGCCCCGGAAAGGCAGCTCAGGTCTCCAGCCAGAAGCGGACAAGGTGAGCAGGAGCGGACTTGAGGAGGCCCTGCTGGCCCCAGATGGGACAGTCAGTGGCATGAAAGTCATCAGACACTGGAAACCAAATGAGTTGACCAGGAAAGAAGGAACAAAAGAAAGAAGCTTTGGGCACGTTTGGAGGGTGCTGGGGCCTACCCACCCTTGAGGAAGCTGGACGGAAGGGAGAAAAAGGCAGCACCTATCGTGCCTTTCCCCAGCCATCACATGCCTCCCGACATGGGACACAGACCCCTCGGAGAATTCTGGCCAGAAGCCTACCGCGTCTGAACAAACCCGCTGCGCGAACCCCTGCGGGGAGGAAACAGCCTTCCTGGAGGTGGTTTTAAACTGTGTCCACAGTTCCTTTTCCATTGGGTGGGCACCGGGCTTAGTGACTCGCTTCTAACAAAGGGAAGGAGGCAGAAGCGGCGGTGTATGCTTGCAGAGGCACCACGACTCCCTTGTTGCCCCTTCCATTTCTGCCTCCCATCCCTGGCTGTAGGGAAAGCCAGCCGCCGCCATGTTGTGAGGACACCCAAGCAGCCCCATGGAGAGCCTGTGAGACATGGCACTGAGGCTTCCTCAGAGCAGCCATCCGATTTCAAATTGCCACCTGCCCCTGGCAGCCTCTAGGCCCCAACCGAGAGAGGTACGGTGGGGCCACTGCAGAGCCAGGCTGACCTGGCAAAAGCCGAGGGCCCGCAGAGCCCAGCTGCGGGGCTAAAGAATGCGTGTGTAA